TTGACCCTTTCTTCGGTCTTCTAGTGTCGTCTCGGCCCTTGGTCCTTCTCCACCTTAGAGGTCAAAATCTCCATTCTCATCTACACGAAGACGCAGACAACCCAGTGGTGAGGAGCCCGCGGGACCTGCAGCCGCGTACGACACGAACGACCACGACCCGTGCAACCCCGCGACCACCCGAGCTGTGCGAATCCCCTCCGAGACAGACGATCTGATCCCAACAATTGTTCGAGCGATCCAACGAGGTTCAGACGTTCTCCATCAACGCAAGTAAGAAACGTCTCATAGTCTGCAAAAATTATAAGCCGTGAGTGTTCAAACTCAACTTTAGTCCCCTACACTTCAGACTTATTTTTGTGGACTGGATCCAATTAGGTTAGTCTAATCTCATCGTACGATACATATGATCCCTAGGTTAGGCAAGCAAACAAGCCCTAAGGTGGTGATTGGTATGGAGTCAAAACCAGTAAAAATCGATCAAAATTAGATCTTGAGTTAAAGTGAGTTATTTCGAATAAAATTGATTGAATTTGTAATTAAAAAATATTTAAAATTCAATGATTAAAGTTGATGTAACGTAAAAGTAAAAGAAAGATGTAAGTTATGTAAATAAAAATATGCAAGTAGATGAAAATTGAATTAAAATTAATGTGATGTAAGAGAGAAATGATTGATTTATTTAATTATATTGATAAATTAAAGATAGTAAATTTAAGTTCATTTTGAGTAAAAATTTAAGTTAAATTTGAGTGAGTCAAATTATGATTTAGCAAACCTACCAATCACAATCACCCCTTGAACTGTCTAAATAACCTTTGACCTACTAAAACGTATTAATTTTTTATTTTTTTTTATTTTTTTAATTACAAATTGAACAAATACAAATTCACACCTACACCCAATGGACTTTAAATTTCGGAAGACCCCTCTAATCTTATTCATTAGATGCGTTCTTCCTTCCTCACAAAATGGAAAATTCCAGACAAAATATTCCATTCAGACGAAAATTAAGATTCACGATCCATAATTGACTTCTTCGACTACATAAAATCGTCGACCTCAATCGATGAAACATGATTTTAAAACAAGTCAAGTTTCCATGCGAATTGTGATAAAAGCAAAATATCATAATAATCGTATCAAGGGAAGAAAAATGTACCTTTTGCATTGATGTTGATAAGAAGAATAGAGATGTGCAACAGGTTACGCAGAAATCTAAATACCAAAATAATCACAGGAGATCAGAAATCAATCGTTTGAAAAACATGACATTCCAGTGCTGCGCTGAATACTGAGGACTGCTTGCATTTTATTAAAGAGAGAAGCTATCTACATTGTAGCTAATTGTCTATTTATCCAAAGCCACATTAAATCTTAAAACAGCAAGGTAAAAGCCCGGTTCGTCGATAAACTCAACCACTTCAAATGAAAGCTTATCTGCAGCATTGTGTAAACTCATTTTCTCTGGCAGACTCGAAACCACTATGTCTGGGTATTGCTTTAGTTGATCTTCTGCCACTTGCCTTCCCTGCTGGTGACTTATCACAACTCTTGCGCCTGCACAAGTCAGACCATTTTATGTACACGACTGCAAGTAACGTCATATAGTTTTATAAATTACACAAACCACCCACACAACCTTATAAAAAAAATAAGAAAATGAAAATAAAGGAGTTAATGCATCTTTCAAATTTTACATATTTTTGTTTTTTACATGTTGCAACCTTACGAAAGATGAGAATACCATAAAATTCTTGGTTTCATATTTTTACCTGGCAAACAACGGCCAGCTAGAGCTGCAAGAACCTGATCAAGCTCAAAGGGCAAAGCTGGGAGAAAATAGAGAAACACGACATCAAAGTTCGTCCATTTCAAAGGTGGATTTACCAACTCTCCTTGCCAACATTTGACCTCATCGTACTTTTCCTTAATGCAAGCCAAAGTTAAAAGAGAGTCGTGAATGACAAACAACTGTTCACAAGGTGATGAGCAAACCACTCTATCCACAAAAGCTTCAGAACCAACTGAAACCAGAACCCTTGAGGTCTCCTCGATTTTTCCGGCAGATATGATTCGGTCAATCTTCTTCATATGCTCCTGATCGGCTTTTGTTTCGTCGGCATCAAGAAATGACCAATCTTTCTCCACAAAATCTTCGAAATGGACTACAAAATCTGTTACAGGATAACTAGAAGGAACTGTAGAGTGAATAGAAAATTTAAGTGATCTTGAGGATTTTGATGAAGTATGTGGGAATTTAATTGAGTTGTAAATGGAAAGCTGAGACTTGGAACGGCAAACAAAGGTATGAAGAGGTGGCGACTTCACCAATGGTTGTAGTAGTGGGGCCGACTGATTAGGTGGGATGAAAGGTGAAGATGAATGCAAAATGTTCATCATAAAACTTGCAATATGCAGAAATCTGATATTCGGGGTTTCGACCCTTTGTGTGAGCTTGTAATGACAGAAACTAATACAGTTTCAACAGATTCAGCCTTTCGACCTGAAATAAACGAGATATGTATCAAAGCTGGAATTCAAATGAAACTTCACAGGAAAGTATGCATAGTTTGTTCAGGGCAGCAATTCAATATGTGTTGCATATCCAAAGCTCGAACACAAAACATTTTCAGCAGACAGCTAATATATGGAAATCATTATAGAAAATGCATGGCCAAGCAAACAACATAATTGCCATGTCTCTTTGTAACAAAGAACCCTAAATTACCTCTAGTAAATAAAATAGAAAGGTACACGATAACTTTTACACATTTAAAACCGAGTCAATCAGCGATTCTACTTTCCCAATCCACATTCCAGACTAGAATATCAATTGTTAGTCACATGTTTTTCAGCCAATTGTGATAATATATTCTTTTACAGACAAAGTTCATCAGTATCAAACCAATTATGGTAAACAATACAGAAAAAGGAAAGCCATAAAAAGAGTAAAGTACAAGAATTGCATATGCATTCACAAATTGAAACATAACTGGAAAAGTAGAAGCATTGAACTGACCTCTGAACAACAAGGAATTACCCAGTTTATCTTATCCCCTGAGCGAGGCGAGGTCATAGAGAAGACGGAGATACATTTTTGCTTACCGTTCAACTACATGTTTATTACATTCTCCCAACTCATCTAATTTGTAATATTTCTAATTAGCTCCTTAAAGTATTTGAAATGATGAAGTCATCCATAGAATAGTGTTGCACGGCTAAGGCTAGGGTTGGTATCGGTTCGGTTACCGCAACGATAAGGCCAAACCGATACCGAACCGATTATTTTGGTAACTACAAATATGAAACCGTTACCGGTTACAATCGGTTCGGTAACGGTTTCTTACCATAAAAACGGAAATTTACCAAATAAACATCCTGAGAGAAAAATTACTTGACATTCGAGAAAATGAAAAATATGAGTTGCATACTCAATAGTCAATTCCATTAAATCGATGGCCAGTTTTATGAAGATGCGTCTGTGAAGGCTGAATCTACTAACTGAAAACAACCGATAAACGGAGCCACATTTCAACAAGAAATCTCATTCCAGAGTTCAATACAATTAGTAGAATTTCCACAATTAAGATATTCTCTTCAATCCCAATTAGGACAAACACCAACATCAAAACTTAGGGCGAACAACAATATCAAAAACTGTACACTCTTTCAGTACCTGAATTTGTGATGCTTGTTTTGCCTGCCAAAGAGAAAGTAAGGTGTCGCTGCCGAATAGAGTGAGGAGCGAGCGCGAGAGATCTGGTTAATGGGTGAGACTTTGATAAACTTAGAGGATCATAATTATTACTTCTAAGGGTGTTAGGAGCGGAAGTTTAGAATTGACAAGGAGTTGGAGGAGCTGTTGAGGTCGAGGTTGATTGAGTTGGGGAGATAATTCGCAGATATTTTTGCCTATGTATTAATGCAGTGCCGTCTCCAGAAATTCCGATGACCTAGGCAAGTTTTTTCTTTTCGGATTTTCTCGATTTGAACTTACATGGCTATTCGCAGATAGAATCATAAATTTTAACGAGACTATTAAATAAATAAATAAATAATTGAAAAAAAAATTCTTGTTTTTATTGAACTAGGAATTGATAAATTACTTCCGGGCTACAAAAATCTTTAATAAATTACAATCAACCAATCACGAGGACACTAAAGACAAGAAAATAAAAATCATATCACTACAAATAATATTTATTTCACACAACTTGTTCTGACCGAACATCGTACGAAAACAAATGAAATATTTAGGGCCTCAATTTTCCACACAAACTACATATTTTGCCATTAGGTCCTTCATTTGTGTAATGATTTAAGTCCATATTTAGCCATTAACCCCTTCTTTTGTGTAAATATTGTGTAAATAGGCAAAATCCAATATAAATATATAATATTAAAAAAATAATGAGGCCTCATTTATGTAGATAGACAAAACTCAACACAAATACATAATATTAAAAAAAATATGAGGCCCCAAATAAAAGGGAGGCCCTAGGCCCATAATCTAGCATAGGTTAAATATCGACTAAGGCTGAGCATGGGACTCAGAGAATTTCGAATCGTTCCAAAAATCAAACTGAAAAATAACCATTGGCAGTTTGACTTTCTCTGAACCGAACCAAACCAAAAAAATAATGGTACGATTCTGGAGATTTCACAAATATCTGTATCGAGAACCGAACTGAATCGCCCCGTATCGTACTGAACCGAAGAACCGAATTATAACATCAGATGTGCTATTAATATATTTTATGTCAACTTTGATCCTATGTAATATAGTAATAACTATTAACCATCAATTAAATTTCATGCTTAGTAATAGTTGATCTACAATTAAATTTTTTCTATTATGTAACAATTATTTAAAATAATAGAAAGGTTAAAGAATATTTATTTAAGAGAAGAATATTATATTTTGTTTGAATTTTAAAATTTCAATACTAGTTGCACAAATTTAATCTTAACTAAAATATAGAGTTCCTTTTAAAGTTGATTTCAAAATAAAAACTTTAATATGAGGAAGTATTGATAAATGTTGGTTTTATTAAAGCATATAAAAATTAAGTAACTAAAATTTATAGTTACTTCTAAAATTGATTTCAAAATGAAATCTTCAATATGATGAATTATTGATGATTTTTTTTTAAAGTATATTGATATAGGATATTATATTAGATCGGCTTTAATGGATAATAAGGATATTGGAGAATAAACCCATAAATGGGCTAAGACATATGGTATGGGCCAAGCCCAGATTGGGCTAAAAAGGTACAGTCTCCCTATAAAAGGGGGCTAAGTTATGTCATTAATTCATTTTCTCTTCATTCATTACTACACACTCTCTCTCTCTTGATCGATTACTGACTTAGGCATCGGAGGCCCGACGTCGGGACCCCTCTAGGCGTTGGGTTTTGCAGGTGCGGAAGCCGTTCGAGTTGAAGGAGCCCGGGTTAAATCCATTTCACTATTACTGGCGCCGTCTGTGGAGACCGTTCAAAAAGTCAAACGGAGTTCCCACCGAAAAAATTCAAAATTTTTCCAGCAAGCTCCTTCAACTCCGACCGACCACCGCCACCGCAGGCCACCACCTCCGCCGCTGGTTGCCGGAAAACATGCTCCGATGGAAAGTTGTCTACATCATCGGGAAGATCTCCTCGAGGTAAAAATCTCTCCTTAAAATTTC